GGGGAGGGAGGGGACGGACATAGGATGAGCTCCTGGCTCAAGTGTGCTGCTTTGATGGCTTTTCCCTCCTGATTCCCTGGCAGGGCTGGGGGAACCAGATCCCAAGATTAACGGGCAGTCACTGTTGGTGAGCACCATGCAGGAGGATGAGAGCCGGGACTTCACCTGCCAGGTGGACAGCTGGCAGGCCGTGCCCATGCTCACCTGGTACCTGAATGGCAAGAAGCAGGAGACCAATGGTTCCACAGTGTTGACCACCTTGGCGGAGGCCTTTGAGCAGAGCTCCAGCACTTTCACAGTGACGGCGCAGCGCGCAGACAGGGAACTGAACTGCTCACTGACAGACCCGGCCTCTGGCAAGACCTCCAACGCCTCGGTGCTCCTCAACGTGCAGTGTAAGGGCCGGCTCCTTGGGCTTTGCCAGGGCTCGTGCTCTGTGCGAGCCAGGTCCTTCGTTCAGAGAACTCGTTAGAGGAGAGACCAAGGGGCACCCCTCCCCACAACACACACCTTAATCCCATCTTGCAGCCCCTCTGCTATTCCAGCCATGCCCCCTCTTTCCCTCTACAGCTCTGCTAGTACCCCTTGATTCCAAGCCATGGCCCCTGGCTAGTCCGGCCCTGCTCCTTCTCTCCTCCCAAGCTCTGCCTGTGCCCCTCAATCCTGACCCCACTATTCCACCCCTTCCATATGCCCCCAGCTTTGCTGCTGCTCCTCAGTCCTGGCTCGCACCCCAAGCAGAGGCAGCTGGTCATACAGAGCTCTGAGGTAGACACAGTACCCTGGGCTCCACCAGATGTATTTCGCTGGAGATCTGAGAAAGGGTTGGGCTCAGCTCCCCTGAACAGAGAGGCTAACAAGGCCCCTCCTGCACTTTCTCCAGCCAAGTCCCAGGCACTTAGACACGATGGAATGGGAGAGGCTTCCTTCCCACCCATGCTTGTGTGTCTGGACCAAGGAGGCAGCCAGAGCAGGGGCTGGACTGGAAGGGGTTAATTGTGCAGTGCCCTGGATGCCCTGGCCAGTTGCAGGGAGGCTGTCATCATTATTCTCATTAGCAGCTAATTTGGGCCCTCAGGCGCTCTGTGCTGCCAGCACCTGAGGGATTTGAGCCCCGCACCTCGTAGTCAGATGTGCAGAGAACACAGGACACTGACCTGAATCTGGCACTAATAATAACGAAGCCTCCTCATTAAAATGCTGCACAAACATGAAATTATGGGTTTTCCCTCCCATCGCTGAGACAAGAGGCCAAATTCAACTCTGGCAGAACCCTGCCCCATAGCTCATAAGTCCCTGCTCCCAGCCCACAGCCGTGAGCCCTGACCCCCAGATCCCTGCTCTAACCACTAGACCCCACTCCCTGTCCCCAGCTCTAACTGCTAGACCCTGCTGCCTCTCCAGGGTCAGCATTCACTAGGTTCAAGACCAGGGGCCAGCTTTGTCTTATACACATTTGGTTTGTGTCCTTTCTTGCCCAGTTAAACCGGAGATCATGACGATGAACGCCAAGTACCAGGAGGCCAAGGACCCGGGTCTCCTCATGGTTCTCTTTGTCCTGGTGCGGGCCAACCCCCCAGCCAGCATCACCTGGATAGACCAGGATGGGCACGTGATGGTGAATACGTCTGACTTCCTCATCCTGGACACCAAGAGCTACCCCTGGCTGACCAACCATACCGTGCAGGTGCAGCTCAGCAGCGTGGCCAAGAACTTCTCTTTCACCGCAGCCAACAATGTGGGCATCACCAACTCCTCCATCCTGCCGCCGGGTAGGTGGGACCCTCTGGGAGTTGGGCACTGGGGCTGGAGAGCATTGCAGAATCAGGGCCCTTCCCCCACATCTCGTCTTGGTCTGAGGTGATTCACAAATCCAGCAAGGGTGGGAGAGGCTGCAGTCTGTGCAAGCAGGGCTGTGGGACAAGTACCTGAGTGAGGAGATGTCCATGGGGAACTGGATGTTCTAAGAGCTTGTGGGGATGGACACTTCTTTCCTATTACTGCCCTGTAGAGGCGCTGATACCTCCTTTGTCTCCCCAGTATACACCTGGAGGGCCTCCTGGAGGGGAACGCCCTGTATCCTACTCTCTGCCACCATCCTCCCCCCACAGGGA